CATTTTTAAAGATTTGCCTTGAGAGAGTCTTTAAACCTCTTTTGTTGACCACCAACTTTACGCTTTCCATTTTTAAGTTCAGAGTACAGTGGTGCCTCGCAAGACGAAATTAATTCGTTCTGTGAGTTTTTTCGTCTTGCAAATTTTTCGTCTTGCGAAGCACGGTTTCAAAAGAAGTTTTGGGAAAGCTTCAAAAATCACCAAAGTCTTCAAAAACCTCAAAAAAGGTTACCACACAGCGTGCAACTGCACCTCTTCAAGCAATGCACCCTGGGTATTAACGGTTTTAAGAAAAAGGAAACAAACTTGCAAGACGTTTTCGTCTTGCAAAGCAAGCCCATAGGGAAATTCGTCTTGCGAAGCAACTCAAAAAACCAAAAACCCTTTCGTCTTGCGAGTTTTTCGTCTTGTGAGGCGTTCGTCTTGCGAGGTACCACTGTAGTTGCTTTGGCAGACAATCATCAGGCATCCACACAACATGACCAGTCTAACGAAGTTGATGTTGAAGAATCATTGCTTCAACACCAGTGATCTTTGCTTCTTCCAGTACACTGGCATTAGTTCACCTATCTTCCCAAGTGCTATATACACATTGCTTGTCTGGAAAACAGCATTGCAAAACTTGGGGAAGTGTGATTTTTGAAGAGTGGCCAAGTTTTGCTTTGTGTATTGATTCAGAAAGTGTAAATTTGCCTTTAAATGAGGACTGCTTCTAATCTGTTGGTGATCCTGAGGGGGGAGGCCCATCAGATGGGAATTCACTGAATGAATTTCCTTTACTTATAAAAGTAAAAAACAGAGGTGTGTAGAACCAATGAAAGCCCATGCCTTTGTGAGGAGATATAAAAAAGACTTTGGTGATATTCTGGGAATTCAGCACGGAGGAGGAGAAGAAGTGCTACGAGGCAGTTGAATGTTTATGCGTACTCCATCCCTTTCCCCACTTCCATGGCCCTGGACATTGGAAACCCACGCTATGCCACTGGCTCCAAGTTGTCTCTTGCCAAATGTTGGTGCAATTACTTAGCTAAGGAAAGAGAAAAGCAAATGTGGGGTGGAAGAAGGTGGGAGAGGCAGAGGAAACTATTCCTTCCAGAGAAGGAAGCTGTTATTTAAAAGCACAGTAGCCCAGAAAACACTCCACAGTTATTTGCACCCAGACTGACGCCGTAGTTGCTTTTTTGCTGAGATGGGAGTGTTGTCATGAATTCAGCCTTGAGAAAGAAGTCAGAATGCAATGAGCTGGCAATCATGTTGTCTGGATTCTCCATCAGCAGAGGCTGAATGAAGTCGGAACAATTCTAGGCTGAACATCCCGTACGGAAGGAACCACAGTCTTGTTTGATATTTTTCTTTCTTAATGGGGTTACCAGCTCTGACTCCCAATGGCTTCAAAAGCTGTTGTGTGCCTCCTTAGATTCTCCAAAGCCATTCTTAATAATTTGTTTTTCTGAAGGAAAAAAAAATGCTTTACATATTAAAAAAAACAACCCTCTATTTTCACACTGCATACAAAACCGCAAAACACAGATTTTCAGTTTCTTCAAGATTTGCAGTGTGCTAGTTTGTTCCTCACAGGGGACAGCATCGGGTTCCGTTGAAGGCATGCAAGTCAGCAGATATGGTCTCCATTTTCCTTTCCCCAAGGAATGCATAATGTGCATTCTTTAGATTCCAAGATAGCCAGATGAAAGGAGTGGAATTAAGAGTGGGGATCCCTGCAAGTCGCTTGGAGTTTACTTTTTGTACAAAAATGAAAAGGACAAAAAGCAACTATAATAAATAATCATCCTCAAAGGAAATTCCCCCCTCCCAAAAGCGAAATAATTTCCACTTGTTCTGAGACCCCATTTGTGCTGCTGTCGAGAGAAAAGAACAGCAAAAAGCCAACACACATATGCTCAAAATCGCCACTCATGAAAAGGAGAGTCACCTCTCCAATGCTGCTGTGTACATTGGCCACGATCCCAAAGTCCGCGCGAACGCAGGTTCCTCTGTGGTCTTCCCTGGCCCAGTTCCTGGCCTGGCTTGGCTTGCTCCCACGAGTCAACAAGCCACTTTTTCAGACACCAAAGAGGTTAAAAAGTGGGTTGTGGGTTTGCCAGTTTGCTGAAGTGACCTGAATTGGGAGTCGCTGCAGCTGCAGAAACATGAGAGAAAGGCCCAAGTGTGCAGGCAGACTAGGGATCTCTGCATGACATCAGCAAGGGTTTTTCAGCCGCAGGCACAAACTATGAGCGGAACCAGCCCTATCATTTGAGATTGTGGGCAATCGTAATCATGACAGAATATTTTGAGCAGCCAAGTTTTTTCTGCTGCTGACGAACGACAAGGAGTGAAGACGAGCACCATCCTATGGGAAACGAAAGGCTCGTAGGTAGGGGGATATCGCAGAGATAGAAGAAGAGGCACCCCACTTTCTGGGTAACACCCACAATGCCACGAGAATGAGCAAGGTAAGTCCTACCCCACTCAGCAGTGGTTCTTGCCAGCCATGTGGCCCAATGGGTGGGTGGGTGACCCAAATACACAATGAATGAATGAATGAATGAATGAATGAATGAAGCACTTTGCGCACATACGGTATACTGTACTACAAAGATCAGATGTGGCAAAATAGCACATCAAGATGTGCCAAAATAGCACATCAGGTTTGCCTGAAAAGACTTAGGTTAGTCGCTTCCTTAACCAACGGAGAAAGTCAGCCTGTTGCAGGCTGAAAGAAAACTATATGAAAATGATGTACCATTCCTTTTGACTCCTAGTAAGTTAGCAAAATTAAAAGACGCCTGCTTCTTGGGAGAAAAGCAATGACAAACCTAGACCAGATCTTAAAAAGCAGAGACAAAGGTCCGTATAGTTAAAGCTATCGTTTTCCCAGTAGTGATGTATGGAAGTGAGAGCTGGACCACGAAGAAGGCTGGTCGCCAAAGAATTGATGCTTTTGAATTATGGTGCTGGAGGAGACTCTTGAGAGTCCCATGGACTGCAAGAAGATCCAACCTATCTATACTGAAGGAGATCAGCCCTGAGTGCTCACTGGAAGGACAGATCCTGAAGCAGAGGCTCCAATACTTTGGCCACCTCATGTGAAGAGAAGACTCCCTAGAAAAGCCCCTGATGTTGGGAAAGATGGAGGGCACAAGGAGAAGGGGACGACAGAGGACGAGATGGTTGGACAGTGTTCTCGAAGCTACCAGCATGAGTTGACCAAACTGCGGGAGGCAGTGGAAGACAGGAGTGCCTGACGTGCTCTGGTCCATGGGGTCACGAAGAGTCGGACACAACTAAACGACTAAACAACAACAACGAAGTTAGCAAAAATGTGTAAGACAAGTACAACTACCTGCTGGAAATGTAAAGAAAAAGAAGGTACCTTTTATCATATGTGGTGGTCGTGAATAGTAATAAAGGCATTAGGGGAAATGATATATAATGAATTGGGGGTGTCTTTTTAAAATAACCGTTGTAAAAAAAACAACCCAGAAGCTTTATAATTAGGAATTGTAGGTACCGACATCTCAAAGGAGCAGAAAAGACTTTTTATCTATGCTACAACAGCCTCAGGGATGCTACTAGCCCAGGGATGGAAAGAAGACAAAGTCCCAACCGGAGAGGAATGGCAAACCGAGCTGTTGGAGTACGCCAAAATGGCAAAACTGCTCAGGAACCAAAAAGACAAAAATTTTAATAAGGAATGGGGGGAATTTATAATTTGTCTTAAAAATCATTGTAAACAGTTAAAATCGTTAGTAGGATTGGAATAACACTTGTAGTTTAACGGTGAAGTTTGGATATAATGGAGATGTAAAAGATCTGGATTATTTCTAAAAGATGCAGGAGGAAATGGTTAACAAAAGGACCCACAAGGGGGAGGAGAGAAATCCAGATTCTTTGGAATCTTGTTTTTATGATGTTGGATATGTGATTGTAAAACTTTAATTTGACAAACCAAATAAATAAATTTGTAAGGAAATAAAAACAAAACAGTACGCTGTGCTCTAGTAGCCAAGCTACATCTGTATCACAGTGCCCCATTAACAGTGGATAGAATGGAGAAATAACTTGGGTCATCAAGCGTCAAGAGTACTTGGTGCCTTCTCTGGAAAAAGCTTTTGAAAGAGAGAAACCCAGCTGGAATAAAGCTGCACTTCACTGTGCCCCCATCTCTTCCCTCTCCATCGGCCAACACAGACCCAAATCCCCAACCTGGGTATCATGTCACATCCTGGCTGAGAGGCTCAAAGAGGATGCATCCATTTACTGAGAGTGCACACATGCAAATATATGGAAATAAGAGAAACTGGGCAGATTAGGCCAGTAGGTGGCATCTCAGTTTTATCCTATTGAAGGTATTCTCACAAACACGCATCAAAATAAAGACATCAACACGAACATATACACAGTTTGAGCCAAAATATGGCAATAAAAAGTGGTAAAGCTCCTTTGAAATGATTCAGGAGTCAAGGCTCAACATAACTCAACTTTCTAATCAATAATGGTTGCCAAGAGGTGCAATTCAAAGAAAGGCACACCTAGGCTGGTATAAGGAAGCTTCCAATGTATGTGGTTTGAGCTCTGTGGAGGAAATATGGGGTAATAAATGCTTTAAATATTGTATATAGACTGGCAGCCCTACCTAGAGTTATGAGGGACTGAACCTGGGAGCTTGGTGCATACAAACTGTGTTCTATACAGCTCTGTTCACAGTTAGTGTTCAGTTACATTAACACCAACAGGCACATAGTCAAGTGTCACCAAGGTATGTTCCAGAACTCTAGAAAGAGGAGTGTGCTTATTTATGTCAAGTACAAACTTGAACAGTTAACCAAAAGACATGGTAATTCTTAACTGGCTATTGCCTAGTTGACACCAGCACCAGGTATCGATTTGCCTGAACTTAAGAAGAATAGTAGCCATTCTATGCACATCGTAGTATTGAATTTTTATCACAAATCTGGTCAAAGCAGCTGAAGAAACAGTCATATGGCCATACGAGGTGCACATAAAAATGAAATTTTATTTGCTGACTATTTATTCTTTTTTGGGAGGAGGAGCAGCAGCAGCCTTCTGCAGCTTCTTCACTTCGTGCTTGATGATTCTGTTTCTCTGTAAGGAAGCAAAATTATACAGTCGTAAGCAGGACTCGCATTTTCAACCTATCTAATGGACTTTATTAGTTACTCGTAAGTGGGCAACTGAAAGATTTAAGTATTACAATGCAGGTTGGGGTTATTTTGCTTGAGCAGCAGTCAATGGTTTTCTGTTACATTTTACAAAAGTTATGCTTGTAGAGACTGCACAGAAAGGACTGCAGAAGTGCACACTGAGTGACAAAACTTCTAACTGGTCGGGCGCAGCCCTATGATGAGGCAGGATGAGGCAACTGCTTCAGTCATCAGATCTGGAGGGGTGAAAGACAGTCCTTGACCCCCACTTTGAGGTTGGAGCACCACTGCAGTGAACCTTTAAGCATGCTTTGCCAACGTCACATAAAATGGTAGGGCTGCCTCACCCACAATGCCTCACTCTGATGAATGACGCCTTCCTCGGAGTGCACAGCAGGGAGGGGAAAAGATGGAGGGAAGTAGGAAGTGAAGGAAAAGGCAGCCATCTAGATAAAACACCGCTTCCCTGTTCTCCACTGTAAAAACTCCCAAGGCAGTGGAGATAACCCTAGAGCCAGCAAGGGTGGCAAATTGTGTTCCATCCACACATGGCTAGCAGCTGTATTCAGACCCACTGCAGTTTCCATTGGGGGGGTCTTCAAATGCAGCCCTGCATATAAATTGCAGCCCATCTAATCAAACCCAGAACATGAAACTACAAAGTGCTCACACTGATATGCAGGACAGTTCTATTCAAATAGTTAACGGAGGCATGGTTATTCAAACTACAAAGGAAAAGGAATATAAAACTAGATTACCAGCAGTTTTGCTTTTACATACCATTTTCTTGGCCTTCATGACCTTGTAACGATCAAAATCTGACATCTTGGCTTTCTGTGGAAAGATTTTCCAGGGCAGACAAAAAATAATTGTTAGAAACATAACCATCTTGCTAAATAATGCTGAGTTTTGTTCCAACTTCCAAACTTGTTTTCAACCCAACGAAATACCTATCTCATGCCTGCCAATTTAGCTTCTGAGCATTCTTATTTATCTTGTTAATTGCATTTATATCCTGCCCTTCCCCCAGCAAGGTCAGGGTAGTGTACTTAGTTCTGCTCATTTCTCATTTTTATCCTCACAACTCCTGAGAGGCAGCGTTCGAAAATTGCCAGGCGCCACCACCTGGAGGTGCATGCCTGGGAATCCTTGGATCTTGACGGCTTTCACACAATAGCAACACATCTTGTAGAATTCTGTTGTATTTTATCTGCACGATGATAATGAATTTCAGGAACCAAAAAGCCGTGTTGAAAAACACAACTTTTGAGCCGTCTGCCCCCAAAATGGCAGCTATGCATTCCGTATTGGTGGCTGCATGCCTGGTTTAAGGAGCTGTTTGGTGCCCAGCTTAGATATCTGAGTTTCTAACACTGTTAGGTGTGAGAGAGAATTCTTCCACCAAGGACTACAAGGTAGGCCAGTTACCTGTTCTGAACGGTACTTCAGAGAGCATGCGGAACAGATTTGTTTATTGTTAATTATAGCTATTTTTACTGGCCCTTCAGAAAACCAATAACCCAGCAAAAAACAATTAAGGTTTTAAGAGTGGGGGAGAAAGTGTCACCCTGATTCTGAAAGTCCATGAAAGTAGGTACAGTGGTACCTTGGTTTTCAAACTTAATCTGTTCCGAGAGTCCGTTTGACTCCTGAAACAGTTCAAAAACGAAGGTGTGGCTTCTGATAAGTGTTCGCAAACTGGAACACTCACTTCCAGGTTTGTGGTGTTTGGGAGCCAATTTGTTAGGGAACCTAGCCGTTCGACTACCAAGGTACCACTGTGCTAGGCAAACCTCCCTAGTAAGAGTATACTACAGAGAGGAAGAGGGGTTTTTCAGTGTTGGCACCCAAAGAGTCATCCATTGCAAAAACTAAAGGTCCTGTCCTAAATTAACCTAACATACCAGGTGCCAGGCACATAGATAGGTGGCCTTTTAACTGAATAGATTTAGATGCAACCATGTTGACCTGCTGGTACTTTTGCTGGTAGTAATCATTCAGTTGCCCAAGCAACAGCTTATTTAGCTAGATTAGCATCAGTATCTCAGCCCAATGTTGCAGACTTCATGCTACAGTATTTCAAAAACCTACCTTCTTCCTGGCTTCAATTTTTTGTGCCCATCTGGTAGTTTTCCACTTCTCGTTAATGTTTTCCTTCTCCCAAGCAGCTCTCACATACTTTTGACGAGCACTAATTTAAGAAAAAACACCAAAATTTGTTACTGAAACAAAACACAAGCTCTCATTTTCAGATGAATCTCAGTAGCCAGCATCAATGCACTGAAAAACATTCTACAATGCATTTCCCCGATAGACTCTTCACTTAATAGTAAGGAGTAAAAGCTTTGTAGCAACCGTACATCTGCCCCTTCAAAATGTAGTCTCATAAGAGCCGTTTAGGAAAAGTAACAGTTCAGATCCTAACATGGCTTGAAAAATTCTCTGCGTGGGACTATTTGCTTTGTAAGGACAGTGGTCACAAAGAGCAGGTTCTTTATATAGGCAGCTCTTAATAACAATGATTATGTCATAGTTTCAGCAGACATGACCCTATCATGCCAGTCAATTTTTGGGGAGGGCAGGGGGAAGGTTTGCGAAGTAAGGGCTGGTACCCATTTTTAACAAGCTAGCAAACTAGGACCTTCAGCCCAACTATATCAAGCTGATACCAAGTGAAGTCTTCCTCTAAAATGGAGAGAAGTCCTTTCCATCTCTCCATCTCATTTTTCCAGATGGAAAGAAGACAAGGTCCCTATCAGAGAGGAATGGCAAAGCAAACTGATGGACTATGCTGAAATGGCAAGGCTGACTGGAAAACTCAGGAACCAAGAGGATAAAAACTTTACAAAAGAATGGGAAAGAATATAAGTTATCTAAGAGACCACTGTAAGCAGTTGGAAACATTGGCAGGATTTTGATTTCACTTGTAGCTAACAAATACCATGGACAATATGGAGTGATTTAAAAGTTAGAATATGGAAGAATATGCAGATGTAAATAGTTCTAACGTTTTGACTCCCGAATGCTGGAAACAGTGACTTCTGATTTGCGAACTATTTTTGGAAGCTGAACATCTGATGGCACTTCCGCAGCTTCCAATTGGCTGCATGAGCTTCCTGCAGCCAATGAGAAGCTGCGCTTTGGTTTTCAAACATTTTGGAAGTCGAACAGACTTCCAGAATGGATTTCGTTCGACTTCCAAGGTACAACTGTATATGGATTTATATTTGGATTTTTATAACCTTGTATATGTAAAATCAAATAAAAATGATTTCAATAAAATGGAGGAAAGTCCTATGAAACCACACATATTCAGCAAAGATTTCAGCCAATGCTGAACATGATAAACTGTTAAGAGAAGTATGATGCACTTTGGTATAGCAGTAACAATGCAAGCTATTTCCACAATTTTCCACATTTAGAGAGGAAGTGATGCTAGATTAAAAAACAGACCTGTGAGGAAACTTGAGAACAAAGTCAGTCAACTGCATGCACTTGAAGGGCATAGCTTGCCTTCGGACACCGCTGCAAGGACCATCTACTAGTGCCTAGAGAAAAGAGAAGGCTTTCAACAGGACTCTTGGATTCAGGGAGAAAAATACAATGTTGTTTTGCCAGTCTAACAGGAAACCTGAATTGATTTAGATTCTAAACTGAAGTGCAGAAAATTGAACAGAAAAAGGCAAACAGCACCAGTTGAAACAATTATAAAGCAGCAGTGTCTTGAAAGCCAGAAGTTCCCTTGCTACCTTAGTAGCTCACCTGCACACAAGTGGCAGAAAGAAAAGCATCTATGGCAACCTTTTAATGGCTAAAGAATGCAATCTAGAATGCAATCTGACACACAATTTCCCTGGGAATAAACCCAACTGAACATAGTGGGACTGACTTCTGAGTAATCATGCATGGGATTGTACTGCACACGTTGGACAAGGCAACTGATAAATGGCAGACTACACAAGAATTTGTGAAAAAAGAATTGTGAAAAAAGTTAAATGTCTGCAAGCACAACCCCACCTAGATCTTAGGTAATTGCTCAGTGTCACAGAACACACATAGATCAGTCATAGGAACTAGAAGCTTGAGATCTTCAAAAAGACTTACATGGTTTTTTTTAAAGGCAAACTAAGGACCACCTGCACCCATACCCTTGTACATTAAAAACAACAGAGGGCCCTCCTCATTTGCCTGCCATTTAAACTAGTGAAATTGTCAGGCAGAAGGAAGAGGCACTTTTGACTGTTGACTTCAAAATTTTGGAATTTATTGTCTGTCCGCCTCTGAAAAATCACCATCCTCCAGACTTTTAGAAAGGTTCTAAAGACTTGTTTCATGCAGCCTATACATAATTGTTTTTTTCCTGTAGTGCTATATTAAATGGATGATTTAGTAATTAATTATATATTTTCGGCTGGATATTTTATTATTGCTGGGTCACTTCAGCACTCAAGTACTTGAAAGGACTTTGCATATATGTTATTGCTATTATTTTTGGAAATATTTATCATGTAAACCATCATGGCAGAGCTTGGCTCAGAAAGGTGGCCTGCAAGTATTTCAAATAAAAAGGAATGTTAATAATAATAATAATAATAATAATAATAATAATAATGGCACTGACTCTGTTCCTTCTCAGTCATCAAGAGGCACACAAGGAAGCATTCAAACTTACCCTGTTCTGATCAATAACATCCACAATCGCTACCAGCTTGCCCGCATGTGGTCCAAAAGAAATATAGGCAACTCGGCCAATCTCAACGTAGCGTTTGAACACCTTAAAGAGACAGAAAATTACTTAAAACAACTTACAATGATGTAATGCTGGGCACTTAGGAACAATTTGAACTGTGAACAGTGCAGGATTTAAGTATAAGCTAAACAAGCTATAGCTTAGGGCCCCACTCTCTTGGAGTCCCCCCAAAAAGTTTAAAGGAAAAAACCTGGATGTACATTTACAAAATATAAGATAGAAAACAAATAAAATAAAACCCACATACAGCAATAGTATTTCGTGTTGTGTGGGCTCCTATGATGCAAGTAACGGGCCCCGCCTGCCAGCCTGCTCCCTAAAACACCACTTGTTTGCTCATTTCTATATACAGCGTTCAGTTACCTATTAGGTCCATAAATTACCATGTAGCATATATTCAACACAAAAAACAGCAACAATTTATTTATTCTGCAAGTAAGTCAGATTCTGGAAAAGGGGGTGGGCAGGAGGATCTGGAGGCAAAGGGATCTCCCACATTCAAGTCAGTCAATGGCCTGCAAACATTCTGCAAGGCTAGTGGCCACCATGTAGCCGCCAGAAAGGAACCAGACAGTTATCTGGGGCCAAAGGTACAAGAGAAAGGTCACCTAGGGCTCTGGGAAAGAGAGCGCAAGCATGAATGTGCAAAGGTCTGGTGGCTCAGACTCCTCATAAAATCACAGTTAAATTATTCTCCAGAGTGAAGGGTATCAGGAAGGACCACAGCCAATGCCATACAATAGTGGAATAGATTTCAAGATGGAACTAGGAATGTAATCTGTATTTACATCAAGTTTTCTTTAAAAGTTACAGAAGAAGCCACAGAAATTCAAGGTTGATCAAGATTTCCCAAGGAGCAGATTTCAGGCGGCAGCTGCTGTTGCTCCGCGGTGCCTGGCTCTTCACATGCGAGCCGAAGGCTGGGTGGCACGAGGCGGTTGGCGGCGGGGCTCCCTCTCCCCGAGACCGCACTTTTCTCCACCACCCCCTGCGTCCCCATTCCTGCCCCCTCGCCCCCCCCCTTTGGTCTACAGTGGTACCTCGGGTTAAGTACTTAATTCGTTCCGGAGGTCCGTTCTTAACCCGAAACTGTTCTTAACCTGAGGTACCACTTTAGCTAATGGGGCCTCCCGCTGCTGCCGCGCAATTTTGGTTCTCATCCTGAGGTAAAGTTCTTAACCCGAGGTAATATTTCTGGGTTAGCGGGGTTTGTAACCTGAGGCGTCTGTAACCCGAGGTACCACTGTATTACCTCCTCTCCCCCCCCAAGCCTTATTACGGTCTCCCCCCTCCCTCAAGCGAAGGCCCTTCCCGGCCCTCGCCTCGCCTCACGCCGCTCCCTCCCGGGCGCCTTCTCCGCCTCGCGCGAAGGGCAGGCCGCGCGGCCCCCCTCGACGGCCATTCCGGCCCCCACCCCAGTCGCCCTCGAGGTAAAGCCACGCGGAGGAGTCCGCGCTCACCATGATGGCCGCCTCACGAGCCGAAGGCCGCGGGGAGAAAGAAAGAGCTGCTTCCGGTCGCTTCGCGTATCCGTTTCCGCCGCTCTGTACTGCGCAGGCGCCGCGGGCGGGCCCTCATGCGTCGATTCTCCTCCTCGCTCGTTCGCCGGATAGAAGTGGCGAAAGCGCAGCCGGTAAAGCGCATGCGCGGCAGCGGACGCGGAGGGAGGCGGGCGAATCCGAGCGCTCGGAGAGAGCGCATGCGTCGCGAGCGTAGCTGAAGTCCGAGCGCAGTTTGGGAATGGGGAATACCGCTTGCTCGCGAAGCGCGCGCGCATGCGCGCGGAGCATTCTGTGTGCCGCAGGGGGATAAACTGGATTTAGAAAGGAAGCGAATATTCCAAGTAGTTGGACAGTCTTGAGATGCGTGGAGAGTGCAATGCTTTGCTGTGTGGTGGTGCTTTGCAAGGCAGAGTGAAACCCAGGTGTCCGGAAAAACCCGAACGCAAGACAGCCCATATCGGAAGTGGGTTTGGGGCGATTTTCCTAAAAAAATAGATTTAAAATTCTTCTTCTTTCTTTCTTTCTTTTTTGAAATTTTGCTCAACCACTTTGGGAAATTTTCGAAAATCGCGAAAAACCTGGGTAGGAAAAAGACAAGAAAAGAAAGCTCAACTGCTTTTGGGTCCGGATTTTCACTTTTGGAAATATGGCAATCCTAAAATGACTGAGCATTTCGTCATCTGACTCATTCACTTTTTGAATCGTAAAATAAAAGGTGCTGTACGTACTAGCAAGCTGTATATAACCCGTGCACACAGTCCCCCCACCCTTTCAATTACTGTTATACATGGAGTTGTAACAAATAAAATGTGGAAAGAGAAGGGAAGTCATTGATATCTTAAGGATGTATATATGAGTACGTACTTTAAATGATGTATAAATGAGTACGTGCAGAAAATTTAATAAAAATTATATAAATATATATATACATATATATATATGCAGGTTTTGGTGTCCTCGGGTGTCTTCCCGTGTAAAAGTTGGGGTGTCTAGGCGACGTTTCGACGAGGTCTCACTCGTCATCTTCAGGCTGGTGCTTTCGGCTTCTTGTTACTGGAACAGAGCTCTGTTCCAGTAACAAGAAGCCGAAAGCACCAGCCTGAAGATGACGAGTGAGACCTCGTCGAAACGTCGCCTAGACACCCCAACTTTTACACGGGAAGACACCCGAGGACACCAAAACCTGCATTCCTGTACCCGTGAAAATCTACGAAAGCAAATATATATATATATATATATATATATACAAAATGTGGGAGGGGATATTGTTTATGTTTTTTATTATGTCATGTATTTTGTGTTTTTATATTGCAAACTGTCCCATCGTCCTTGGATGGTATAGAAATTTAATTGATGGTGATGATAATAATAATCGTCATCATCTCCATTTGAAAGTTAGTCCCAGCAAGTTCAGTTGAGCTTGCTTCCTGGTAAGTGGAGTATAGGATCATAGCCTGAGCCTCAGTGGATCACACTGCTAAGAGTTCAGGAGTCCCTATTTTTGTGCACAGTTAGTGGGTACTGCTTGCAAATATATTGGCGCTCCAGCCCTATCATTAGGCAATCTGAGGCAACAGGCTCTCGTGCTGTTTATCCCTCAGTGTTCCCCTGCATGCAACATCCAAGACAAAGCCCTGGGCACTCCCTAATGTAGTCTGCTTTCTTAGGTGTAGTGGAGAACGCTCTCCAATTGCTGAAGTAAGAGCACAGAATGAGACTTAGGGGTTTATTTTACGTGTCGCATATAAAGCTTATTATAATGGATGGGTGGCAGCTAACAGTTGAGGTTGAATCCTGACAAGACAGAAGTAATGTTTTGGAAGAGGAGCAGGAGGCGCTGTGGTCTAAACCATCAGAAGTTTGTGGTTCAAATCCGCACTACGGGGTGAGCTCCCGTTGCTCTGTCCCAGCTCCTGCCAACCTAGCAGTTTGAAAGCACGCCAGTGCAAGTAGATAAATAGGTACAGCTGCGGCGGGAAGGTAAATGGCATTTCCATGTGCTCTGGCTTATGTCACGGTGTTCCATTGTGCCAGAAGCAGTATAGTCATACTGGCCACGTGACCCGGAAAGCTGTCTGTGGACAAACGCCAGCTCCCTTGGCCTGAAGCGAGATGAGTGCCGCAACCCCATAGTTGCCTTTGACTGCACTTAACTGTCCAGGGGTCCTTTACCTTTTCACCTTTGTTTTCCTGTTTTGGGGGGACCGGGCGAGCAGGTTCTGAATGGGGTAACTGTGCCCCTGAAGGACCAGGTGCGCAGCCTGGCAGTCATTTTGGACACACAGCTGTCCATGGAGGCACAGGTCTACCAGCTCCATCTGGTATGCAGGCTGAGACCCTACCTGCCCGTGGACTGTCTCGCCAGAGAGTTGCATGCTCTGATTATCTCCCGCTTGGACTACTGCAATGTGCTCTATGTGGGGCTACCTTTGACGGTGACCCGGAAACTACAACTAATCCAGAATGCGGCAGCTAGACTGGTGACTGGGAGTGGCCGCCGAGAGCATATAACAGTGGTACGGAAAGCCCTACATTGGCTCCCAGTATGTTTCCGAGCACAAAGCAAAGTGTTGGTGCTGACCTTTAAAGCCCTAAACGGCCTTGGCCCAGTATACCTGAAGGAGCGTTTCCATCCCCATTGTTCTGCCCAGACACTGAGGTCCAGCTCTGAGGGCCTTCTGGCAGTTCCCTCCCTGCAAGAAGTGAGGTTACAGGGAACCAGGCAGAGGGCCTTCCAGTAGTGGCACCCACCCTGTGGAACGCCCTCCCATCAAGAAAATAAACAACTGTCTGACTTTTAGAAGACATCTGAAGGCAGCCGTGTTTAGGGACGTTTTTATTGTTTGATGTTTTATTGCTTCTTCTTCTTCTTCTTCTTCTTCTTCTTCTTCTGTTTGGAGCCACCCAGAGTGGGCGGTGTATAAATTATTATTATTATTATTATTATTATTATTATTATTATTATAAACGTGAGAACAGTATTTGTCTATTACCCACAGTTCCTGAGTGACTGGTGTATTATATTAGCACTCCTTGTATCGCTCCAATTCCATTTTCTCTATAGACTTGCTGAACCCAAAGGGCCTAGACCTGCCTTTTGTAGTACAGAGCTAGTTGCTTTTAGGTACCATACATAGTGAATGTACTGTTCCAGAGCACTGAAAAGAATAAACTTCGGTGGCCGTTGTATGCCTGAAAAGAGAATCAGCTGGGCATGGCAATTGTGATTAATATTGAATTGTTTTGTGGACAGATGAAAGGGGATCTTGGACGGCATGTAATGAACAGGAAAATCGGCCAAAGTCTTAATAAATAAAGACACTTAAAATGGTTCTATGCAATCATATGATATTATCTGAATACATGATCTGAAAAGCCCGGTGATTTGATTGGTTTAGGATGATGTCATTGGATTGCAACTATTAAGATTGCTGTGATCCTTTCATTGGTGAAATGCAATGATGTGTGTAATCTGGAAGTATATTAAAAATATGGCTTTGGGTGTGGTTCTTGGCAGCCTCCTCCTTATTTTTGTGGCTGTCCCTGTGTATATTTTTATTTCAATAAAGGCCTTTCTTTTCACTTGGAGCCTGCACCCTTTCGTTTGGGGTTTCTGGGAGGAAATACCTCCAGTCTTGGAACTTCTTTTTAAATTTCTCCAACAGATGCATCAGGGCTTTTTTCTGCCTGTACTTCATTCCGTCTTGTTGCTGCACCAAAACGGCTCAATTCGAAAGCACCCGCCATTTCCCTTATGTCGCAAAACACTGCTTTTTCAAATAAGAGACCGTTCTGTTCTCTCCGTTATGAGCGTATTTATTCTACAGGAAACACGTGGTCGACATGACAGGCGTTCTTTCGCATGCGCGACACCACACACGAATACACGAGGAAGATGAGGCACAGTAACGCCACGGCTGTGAAAAAGAGCAGCAGCCCAGCGAACAGGGAGGGGCTCATGGGGGCCAAGATCATATTGCTCTCTGCTGGAATCATGTTGGTGAGGCTGAGCATGTAGCCTAGCGACCAGGCTATGCTGCTGTTATCGACCTGAAACACAGGAAAAGAACAGCAAATTAGACTCTTCAGATAATAAACCTCAGGGCCAATGTAGAAGATAGAAGATCTGCTTTTCCTATGTACTGTGGGTTGTTGTTTTTTAATATGACCAAAAAAGTTGCTATAAGAAATTAATAGCATATTTTCATACATTTGTGAATAGCAAAACAAGCACGTTGGGTGCATGTAGTGAAAGGCCAGTTCACAGATATCTGTATGTGGAAGCAAATCTTCAGCAGATACAGTGGTACTTCGGGTTAAGTACTTAATTCGTTCCGGAGGTCTGTACTTAACCTGAAACTGTTCTTAACCTGAAGCACCACTTTAGCTAATGGGGTCTCCTGCCGCCGCTGTGCCGCCGGAGCACGATTTCTGTTCTCATCCTGAAGCAAAGTTCTTAACCTGAAGCAATATTTCTGGGTTAACGGAGTCTGTAACCTGAAGCGTATGTAACCTGAAGCGTATGTAACCCGAGGTACCACTGTATACAGAGCCAGGGCTTTTTCGGCTGTGGCTCCGATCTGGTGGAACGCTCTGTCACAAGAGACTAGGGCCCTGTGGGACTTGACATCTTTCCGCAGGGCCTGCAAATCAGAGCTGTTCCACCAGGCCTTTGGCCAGGGCACAGCCTGACTCCCTCCTTTGGCAATCTTCACAGAACTCTAGCTCAATGGTTGCCATCAATTTGATTTGAATTAATTTTAGAATGAAATGATTTTAGAATGTTGTATTATTTTGTTGTTGTTAGCCGCCCTGAGCCCGGCTTCAGCTGGGGAGGGCAGGATATAAATAAAAATTTATTATTATTATTATTATCATTATCCCACCTCTTCCCATTCATTGCATCTTTTCATGTTAACTCCATCTGCATTTGCACACAGACACTGTTCTCAATGCTCTTGCTAAGAAATACAGGAGTGGACAGATGGTACAAGTGGGACTATCGCCTCTTCATCCAATAATGAACATGGGAAGAGGTTCTGATTCAAACTGAATATTTTATATGTGACATGAGAGGGTGC